AAAAAAAAAGCTTTCACACTGGAAGTCAGAAGACAGGCGGACATACAGAGCAGAGGAAACATCAAATATCTTCACCTTTTTGTATCTCACCTCCAGATCTTTCATATCCATTAAGAATATGAAGCACTGTCTCCCTGAGACAGCTCAAGTTACTCTGTTCTAAGCTAAAGTCTCTAGACGTGCTGTTGCTTGGGTTTCTAGAGATCTGTTCTACCAACCTACTCTGCATCTCTGTTGCTGCAGTGGGACCAGAGGGATGTGTCCTCAAAGAGGACCATCGTCTCTCATTTTACTACAAATTTCCAAATCCTCTTGCTTTTACAGCGGCATTAATTCCACCACACAAAACCTGTAATTTTAATTTTAGCATACTGAAGCCCACATTCAAACTTTGCTAGTGCTCAGAGTTATTATTAACATGAAAGCAGAGATATAGCCATTTAGTACAGACAGCTAGGATGACTTGTCAGTGTCCTGCTGTTCCAGAGTAAAAAGCAAGCCTCTTTCAAAAAGCACCTACTCTCACAGAGAAGACAATTCAAGCAACATGAGTGTGACATAAAGATCACAGTGAAGCTTTTAAAATCCTTCCCTAAGTTAACCCAACATCTCTGGGATGGTTGTGAACTAATAGTGAAGTCCCAACAGCTCATCTTGTCCCTCACAATTGTTGTTATTGGACAGTTCAAGTCAAATGGAAATGAACCGCCTATGAATAAACCCCAAAAATCATTGCCTGCAAATACTGAGACCACAGTGACTGGATTTAGGTGTATTTAACTGAAATGCTCAACTCTGCTCCCTCTTCTCATTCCCCCTTTAGTGAGAAACCATAGTAAAAACAACAGCACGAAACAGTATCTCTGTGCCAGTTCCTTGTCAGTCACCTCTCCTAAATGTCGCAGGGGTGGGTATGTTGACATTGGGTGCCCGGTGTACCGAGGGAGTTGAAGGCACAGATAAGGACGCCTGAACTGCAGTGTCTGTTCTTTCTGTTTCCAGGGTAGTTCGCATTGGTGTTTTGGGTTTCTCCTGTTTCTGCTGCACCGCAAGCTCTTGTCGTAGATCTATGAAGGAAGCAAGACAAAGCAAACTTGTGGAGTATGTATCCACAAAGATAAAAAGCAGGTAAGAAAGTTTGTTCTGCTCAAAAATTGTTCCCCTCATGGAGGTGAAGTCACTTATCCTTGTAAAGATTACTCCAAGCACATGTTCAAAATCTGGACAATCACTAAAGGCTTTTCTAGGATTGTGGCTCAAGATGTTTTCGTAGTTTTAGCTCAGTTGCTATTACCTGGCTTTAATTGTCACACCTTTTCACAAGTCTCCCTTTGAGGCAGGAAATTAACTCCTTTCCAAATGTTACATGCTAGTAAGTAGAGGCACATCAAGACTGAGGCTAGGCAACTTGGCACACCTTGGCTACATTCCAGCTCCATGCCAGGTTGAGATCCTACCAACTACACCCTTTTTTCTTCTACCCTGGTTTCCACATGAAGGAAACCTGAACTGAGGCCAGGCATAAGCCACACCATTATCAAGCCAAAGGATAGGGCACTTCTGTCCCACAGCCTGGCTGCAGCTTATGGAGACCACTCAAGGGCACAGAATCTGAGCAGATCTGAAAATAGAAGGTGTTTTTCCAGCTCCCTGGTCTCTCTCTTCTCATCCAGCCTTATTGACAGGTATCAAGAAGCTAGCACATGAGGCTATGATTCAAAGGTAACTAGAAGTCAGTCACAACCCTCCTGTTTTACAGACCCATTAGTGTTTCATTGACCCCACTTTTCACAGGCCAGGAAACAATGAGGTTAATGGTTATTAAAGCTGACCTTCATGGGTTACACAAGCCAGCCCAGCGTGTGCCCCGACTGGCTCTTCTTAACCCCGTAAGGCCCTGAACCATCACCACAGATTAGGAGAAGGCCAGAACAGACTTTTGCTTCTGTTAGCTGCTCTGGAACAAGGTCAGGAGTTCAAGGAGTGGGTGGGGAACAGTCTTAAGCTTCTTCATTTTCTTTTACATTTCAGACATCAGATTTAAAAGACGCAAAATTAAGAGTCACTGAGGTCTGAACAAGCCAGGAGGGGAGAAAGGAAAAGACAGAAGTAATTTCTGTCTAACCTCTAGCTTCATCTTTCAGGCGCTGCACGGACTCCAGAAGGTTTTCTTTCTCATCCAGCTCACTCTCCAGAAAAGCATTTCGTTCAATAGCCTGGTTTAAACGCTGTTCAAAATCCTCCAGAGACATTATAGTGGCTCTGAAAAAGGGTGCACAAGACGTCAGTACCAGATCCTTCAAGCACATGAAGGAACTCCCTCTCCCACAAGAAAAGGGATAATCTTGTGGTTTTGTTTGGTTTGCCTTCTTTTACTATTATTTTATATTTTAGCTTGTAAGATATGAAAGAGTGCAGTGGGAAGAGCAGAAGGGAAAAGACGACTTATTGCATCTCCCATCTGCCACAAACCTCTTCATCACAATCATCTCCTAGTTCAGAATGGCAGTGCTAATAGGCACAGAACCACCAACAGCTCAGTGACACCATGCTCACAGGACAGAACAGAGGGAGAAAAGAAAACACAGAAGGTGGGGCACCTTTTTGCTCTTTCCAAGTCATCATTTGCTTGCTCAAGTTCTCGAATGTATTTCTGAAGTTGATCTTTAATAGCTTTTGTCTGTGCCAATTCATCTTCCAGCGCAGAGATTTGCCTGTATCCTTCTGAATGCTGCATTTCAATCTTTTCCTAATCAAAGGCAAATCAAACAGCGTATCAGGGACTTGAAAATGCACGTTCTCTTTCTGTGGTATTGTTTGAGCCCCTTTAAATGCAGATGTAGATACTGTGAATTTTTTTGAGAAACATCACCTTATATATGGTAAAATGCCAGAGCAGCCAATTGCTCACATAGTCCTGAGCTGCTAGCAGACAAGAGCTCTTCCTGTCACTCCTTATCAAACAAGGGTGACGGGAAGCAGTTCCCAACCTCCACAGCACAGGGAGCAGTGAGACTCAGCATAATTTCTGACGCCCAAGAGTTTCAGTAACATGCAAAGCAGGATGCAAGAGAACCCACTTATTTTCTACCCTAATATTAAAGTCATGCAGTACTTCAGAGCCTAAATAAAGAGAAAAAAATATATATTCAAGCATGACACTGTTACATACTGCTGTGGAACCAGCAGGATTCTCCACTGCCCCTATGGTTTTATTAGCCCAAAGCAGGTTCAGAGTTCCAGATCACAAAACATTTCAGGTGCAGTTATGCAACATGCTTTGGGTGTGAACCTGAAACAAACTCTTGTCTCCCTTTACAGCATGTACACAAGGGTACATTTAAGAGAGGCACAGTCAGGGAGGAAGGCTTAGCTTTTCTCCATCAAATATCTCTCTCCTGCTATTGCCACCATATGCAGAGCTAGCTCCGTGTCATATGACAGGGAAAGCTTCACAGCACACCATCTACTGCAACACTTCACACTCCACCACCTTGCTACCAGATCACTTCAACATGCCAGAGATTTTTTTGAAACTCCAAGATCACTGTGTAAGTGGCACTCCTGAAGTGCTTTCTCCATTCAAAATTTAAGTACAACACACTTGAAGTCACTGAAAACAAATCCATGCACTGGAATTTGAAAACTATGGCATGTAGTCTAGCATGACTGATAATTTGAAGACAGATATTTTAGCACATGAAATGCACAGACAAGGAGGATGGAAAGGGATATCCATTCTGAATTAAGAAATTTTTATGTGATTACAGTGTAGGGACACTACTATAATTCCAGATCTCTGAAGCATAGTTAAATGCTGGATTTAAGAGTCCCCCAGCTCTAAGAGGCAGATTACTTTCAACTAGCTTTTCAGGACTCTCTAAACAAACCCTCTGAAGTGTTATTTCTATTTATTTTTAGGTAGTGTGAATGCTGGTTTCTGAGGGAGGAGCAAGCACACACCGTCAGCTGGTAAGCTCAAAGCCACAAGCTGTGTGGGCCTGACAAAGTTCACTAGTGTTGACCTAGATGCACACACCAACCCTTGATGGGGTCAGTTAACACTGCTGCTCAATAGCTTCATGAGTTCAATGCTTTGCTCTTGAATTGATTCAGATAAAAGACCAAAACCGCAAGGTTTGAGTCTTTGTTTTTAGCCAATCGTAATAAACTATCAGCTGATCCGGCCATCAATGGAGTCTCTGTTCCTTCACTGCAGGCTGCTACTGCAGTTTTCAGGCTGCCTGAATAGCCAATTGTTAAAAGGTTTCTTTCAAGCAGAATATGTTTTAATAAAGTTATCCACTGTGAAAAATAATTTAAAATTTTCTAAAATATGTTTATCCTCCCCTTTTTGAGGTTTGTGTTGTTTTCTACTATTTCCATTCTTAACTCCTTTGGCTGGTTCATTGTCCCCTCCTCCCATCATAGCTTCCCAAAGAAAGCAGCCCACACCCTCCTCAATTAAATGAGCTGCAGGTTTTATTTTTGCCAGACTTAGGCCTTTGCCCCAAACCCATCAGCTCCCGTGGGTTTTTGTGGCTACATGGAACAGCAGACAATATTCCACATAATATGCAGAGCATTTAATACTGCTAAGGCACCAATAGGACAAAGATCAGCGCAACACAACAAATACAATGAAACAAGCCTTGGAGGTTTTGCTGCCCAAAAGTGTGTGTGTGGGGGGGAGAATCATTAGGTTGGTGCTAGAGGGACAGAACACCTGCCTGGAATGGAGGAGTATTTCCTTAAGACAGTAATTTAAACAAGTTTAGACAAAAGGCATTGCAAACCTGGACTGATCCAGTGATTGCACTTATACAAATACTTTCACTCCCATTAGCTCATTATTACATCCAATTCAGTAGAAGAAGTCTAATTAAATCAATCTCCGCTTCCACAGATACTCACCTAGCCCTACAAAAAACAGCATAGTGTTTTTTGGGTGACTATCCTTCACCTTTAAGTAAAAGGCCTTTTTAAGGTTTTTAAGGTTTTTAAGGTTTGTTTTATGAATTTCAGTTCTATGTGTTACCCACTGCCTGCTGCTTCCCAGCTTGCCTGGAATGCCAGACAATAAATACATAACTATGTAAAAAGGGTTTAACACTACTGAGTTGTCTTATGTAATGCAAGAACACAGCTGGAATGTTTGTATTTTGATTGTTCTGCAATACTATCTGTGTCCACACAATGCAGGCAGCAAGAAAAGCTGTGAACAATAGCACTAAGTAGATGGAAGAAGTAATAGAACAGCAGCTCTGTTATGTTGGTGTTTACTCTCCACTCTACTGCAAACAATTTTCTGCCATCTCAAATCTACCCTGACGCATACCCACAACTTGCAAACAGGGCTCCAGGCACATTGCCAAGGCAGTCAGCACCCTCAAAGCAGACAACAAGTTGGTATTTCTTAATTTTTCAAGACTTTATTTTTTGCAGTTTTCTGTTAAATTTCTTTGTAACGCTGAAGGTCCTGGTCCACAAGACAAGCTGAATCTGCACATGCCTGTCTCATTCACTTTTGCACTTGCAAGGTAGAGATACTGTATGCGTCACCCACTCTTACCTTAACTGACTCCAGTTCCATCCGCAGACGATTGTTTTCTGACAGAAGGTCTCTGTTTCTGGACTCTGTTTGCTGCAGCTGAGTCTCCAGTTCAGCTTCATACTCTCGACTCCCTTCTTGGAATTCACGCAATTCCTCCTGCGTATTCTCAGCACTAGAGAGCAATTCCAGCAACATAACTCATCATAATTAACAAAGTAAAAATCTCTCTTGTACACTCAAGGTAAAAAAAATACTGTCCTTTAACACAGAAGGGTCTATGCCCTTCTCCAACATACATATTCAACAGAAAGAGAGGACAATATGCAAACATTTCTCCATCAAGCATGGAAAGCCACACCACAGCAAACTGGTAAACAAATTTTAAAAGCCAAAATAAATAGAAAAATCACAAAGTCTATGTTCACACTGTAGGTGTTGAGGACACGTGGAGCTTGTACATTGTCCACTGCCATCTGCCTATTTAATCTGTTATTCAATTCAATTATTTATTTGGAAATATGAATAAAGATATTTTCAATTAACCATAAAAAATAGAGAGAGAAAGATGGAAGGAAAGATCTTCTTGTACTCTTAAACCATTCTTTTGAAATAATCCTCCAGGAAGCTAAACAAGCAGTACTGAAAGCTCTGAACATCTGGTCTGAGAAAGGACCCACAAATATCTGCACAACTTCAGCACTCCGCCCTACTCAAACCAGAGCAGGGACTAAAACCAGTAGTGCCACAGCAGCAGAGATTCACTGCTCAAACAAACATAAAGGACTCTGAGCAGCTATAGTTTATGCAGAAGCATTGCTACTGCTACCTCTCAAGACAGCTGAGCCACCTTGAATTTACTCCTCTATGTGGTGCTATGTCTTTGCACGGAGTGTTATGCACCCTGTCAAACAACTCAAAGGAATGAAGCCACTGCCTTACCACTGCTTGTATTTCATAGCCAACTCTTTCCAGTATCTGGTTTCCTCTTCCACTGAGCTGAAGCAATGTCCTTCTGAGTCTTCCATGATGAGTTCTCAAAGTTTAAAACTCCTGTTTCATTTCCCCCTCCCTGGAAAATTAAAGGATCGTGCATAAGAACTAATGCAGTGAGCTACCTCAGTACTTTTTGCTGCAGAGCCGTGCACCCTTCCTCCCAGGAAGTCACTGCACACCTAGAGACCAAACTAAAGACCAGCCTTGACAGGGCTCTGTCAGAGATACCATAAATGTGAAAGAATCAGTACTGAGTAACCAGGTCCCTTTCCCCAGTTCTCTCAAGGCTGTTGCACCAGCAGTGAGCACCTTTCCCACCCTCTGACTGCACAGCACAGAGCACCGAACATCAAACTTGAGCTGCAGCTGTGTCAATGCACACAGAGCACAAATGAAACATCTCAGGCACAGCTTCAGCTCCAAAGACAGTGCAATTAAGGCAGATTTCAGCAACCCTAAAGACACTTACTATGAAATTAAAGAGAAACTTCAAAGAGACACAGATAAGGTACTCAAGATACGAATTTCCTGTGTTAGGATTTCCAAGAACATCTAAGCTTTTTATGGACATAACTGCTAGACACAAAAAAATTTCTCCCTAGGTCAACATAGACAAAGCTACCCAACTTTAACCCTGAAGTATCACAATCCATGTATGGCTGAGAGCCACAATATATCTGGATATCTCAGAGCCATGTGCGGAGAAATTCCCAGGGAAGTGAGAATGAAAGCTCCACAAAGGCTTTAGTGGGATACCACCTGGCTGGACTAGGTATGCAGACAGACTGCAGCAACCCAGTGAGCAATCCAGACCGTCCAGCTGTCCCTGTACCAGCACAAAGCCAGTCACAGGACATAGTCCCAAATGGGAATGACACATAAAAAAGCCACAGGACAATCAAGAACCTTAAGTCGCTCACTCCTGCTTGAAGACTTAAGTAGCTAGACACCACAATTAAATAAATGCCCTCTGATGTGCATGATGTGCTCTATTAATAAACAGGACACTAGCAAATATCACTTTATATGAGTTAGTCTTGACAATGGAGAAACATAAAACCCAGTGCTCTGGACAACCTGCCCAAGTCCAGCCCTGGGTGATGCAAAGATTCCACCAGACAATATCAATTTAAAAGAAACCCAATAAGAACAGTAAATAAAGACGGAGTTGAAAAATCCATGACAATGGCAGTTGTCAGAAAAGTGTATCATTGACATGTAATGACTGAAGAAACACAGTTCTTCTACCACGTTTCTGCTCCAGATCTACTGAGCAAAACATTCCTAGAGGTAATCCTGATGGAATAAGGATGAAAAAAACCAGCCAAATCCTTCAAAGATCATGTAAATATCAATCCTGTCTTCTCTTATTTATGATAGTCAGGAAATGCTGGAGTAGACCATCTGAGCACGTCATAGCTGAAGAAGATGTCCATCCACTGCACATCTATTGAAGTAAAAGGCAAAAATTTATCATAATCTGTGTTAAAACGGTTCTCTCCAGAAAATCACCTGGTTTTTAACAGGATTAACAGCCATCTATCTAATAACTCTATTGAGACAAACATATGTATGTATACCTATTGAGACAAATATACAATTCTTACCTCTACTACAGACAACAGTATCGAGTACTCCAAGTAGTTCGGTGAGCTAAAGTTCTCTTCACAGGTGATTTTCAGGAGATCATTAAGCAAAGAGTAAGCAGCTGTCACAGCTAAGTGGGCTGTGCCCACACACCTCAATGCACAGTACCAGGTACACACTCACAGAAATTACACTATTATTTAGAAAGGGAGCTGACAGGTGAGGGGAAAAGTTATTAAGCCTTAGTTTTTATAATTCAGTATTTTGACCCAAAATGTTAATTAGACAATGCTACATGTATTCCTTCTAACAAATAAAACCACTGTGTGTTGTACTGATACACTTCCAGCCAGAAGTCTCAGTGCTGCTGCTCTCTGTATGTATTTACAGAAGTATGCACTGGGGAATAAAAGAGAGGAGAAAGAAGTGGTTTTCCAAATAGTAGCCTTGCCCATTAAAAAGAAAATCATGACCAAGCATAATTAACATTCCTGTCCTAGGATAGTTTATGACACAAGTACTCTATTTAATTTTTAAGCGAACTGAAAGTGCCTTTGATGTTAATGAGCATGTCCTTACACTCAAGGCACTGTGTACACACAAACCAATCCTTGCAGCACACTTGTGAAGATAAAAAAAAATTCTCTTTTACAGATGAGGGACAGGGAAGGAGGGCCAGACACAAAGAAGTGATGCAGGTGCAATGAGAAACCAAGAAGGACCAGCATCCACCACTGTGGTCAAACCACTCCAGAGAACAGCAAGCCAGTTTCCTTTAGATGGTTACTTCTCACCACACAGACAACAGGAAGTTGCTGTATTTCAAGAACAGAGATTCATTCCATTCAGGGTATGCCTGGTTTTGCTACACATTAAAATATATTTCAGAAGTCTCCAAAGAGGAATTTTTCTGACACAAGGATATAATAAATCCCATATCTGTGTTCAGACAGTCAACACACAGAGGTCAGACAAGATAAAGATTGAGGGAAAGACATCTTGCTCCTGAAAGCTTTCAAGCAGCCCTTTAGAACCAAAAGACAGAGCTCCCGTTGGCCTCAAAAGTTTGAATATGCTCATACCTGGCTCTCATTTGTGATTTTACACTGCACTTTGGAAGGACTAAAAGAATATACTAACTTGCATTTTTTAGGATTGCATGGTCACATAGAAAAGAACTCTCCCTAACCAAGCCATAAGATTTATTTATAAGAGTTCCACAGAACCTTGATAACTTTCACAGAAGCGTAAAGATGCTGTCCCCTTCGGTTTCTAAGTATGTCTTACGTAAACATGTTACCCGTTTAGACTATGCTGTTTCATGGTTACCACTGCTAAACAGTATTTATAATTTAAAATTAATTGTTAAACTGCAAATACATGGAAGGACTGTGGACCTATACTTACTCCACAGAGATGAAACAACATAGCAGAGATTGTTTCACTACTGTACCGTGCCACAGGCACATGCTTTTTGTCCTCAACACACAAGGAAGACCAATTAGATTCCCTGAGCACCTGCACTACATCTTAGCTCATAGAGATTTTCAAACTAACCGAAGATACAATCTTTAAAGAAAAATTCCAAGATGTAGACAAAGCATTAAAGCTTTTTTTTATTATTTTCTGAAATTTGTTTAAAAGAAAACAAAAAACACTCACAAATATTTCTGAACTGCTTGTAGAAAGGGTAGGGCTTTGACTCTTTCC